ATCGAGGCAGTAGGGCTGGGGAGGGCTGTGAAGGCGCATGATGAGGCTTGTCACAGCAGCAGAGCTTCCCTGTGCCTGGAACGAGTCAAAAAGTGATTTATTTCTTCTAGGAGAGGTGGATTACCTTTGGCTGCCTCATCTCTCCTCTGAGAAATGCCAGGTGCCTGGGGAAGGTGGCCGTGTGTGCATCTTGTCCCCGTCCCCTGTCCCAGCTGCGCGGCGCGAGCGGGAGAAGCCGCGGGAAGCGAGGGAAGACACTTCCTCCAGCGGCGGATCTGAGCTCACCTCCTGGCCCTTGATCCCTCCAGCCCGGGGTATTTGGGTCAGCGGGGAAGCACAGCTGAGAGCGACGTCCCTTCCTCCTCTCTCCCTGGAGGTTTGCTTTTAAAGGAACAAATAGGTTTGGCTTCAAGTGCCGCAGTCTGATTTTTTAATGATGTTTTTTGGAACAATGAGCTAAATACCAGCGGGGTTTGGATCTGCATCTCAGAGTGGTGAGATTTTCTTCCGGCTCCTACCTTGCTCTGCTCTCAAAAACCTTTTTCTGCTTAGGAAAATGCTAGAAACAGGGGAAGTTTGTCATCCTGTTGGATGGTCCTGCTGGAAAGAAAGTTGGTCTGGTATCCAGGTGGGACCACCTGGACTGACCCTGGGGTCCCTGCCCACCATGAACACACAAACATGGTGCTCACAGCCCTCAGGGACCCCTCAGCATCACCAGCCCCACTGCAGGGGGAGCTGAGCCCCGCCAACTCCCCTACTCTGCCTCAGCGTCCCCAGGAGCTTTGTCACCCTCTGGTAGGAGGAGGAGAAGGTGACCAGAGCATTCCTGGTCCCTCCTCCACTATGGACACAGCTTGGTGCTGTTGGGCAAATGGGTTGGTGGGCAAATGGGGCACCTCACCAGTTTTCCCTCTGTCCTGAGCCCGGGGTGGGTGGTGCTGGGGGGATGGATCATCCTGGCCATGCTACTGCAACAGCTGGAAGTGGCCAAGGCCAGGTTAGATGGAGCACCCTGGGATACTGGAAGGTGTCCCTACCCATGGCATGGGGTAGAACTGGATGATCTTTAAGGTCCCTTCCAACCCCAACCCTTCTGATTTGATGATTCTGTGATCTCTTAGACCATTGAATCACTGTTCCCCTTGGAGAACTTCAACCACTCCATTCCCTGTCCATGCTGAGGCCACATTGCCTTGGATCAGCCACGGGCCACCAGCTTGGCAGCCTTTGTTGTGTCAAGGTGGGAAGGAAGAATTTAGCTGGAGCTTTCCCCTTGTGTGAGAGCTGCTGGTGAAATGTTCTCCTTGGTCAACAACTCTGCTCCAGCAAAGCAGCACCAGCCCCACACTGAGCTCTTCCCCTAGCCCAGAGCATCCCTAGGACCACCAGGGACGTTCCACCAGCTCTGTAGGTGGCTTGAGCTGGGGTGGCAGCTGGGGCTGGTGCTGTCCCCCAGCCCCCTGGAGCAGGGGGTGTGCCCTGGCGAGGTCCTGGCTCCTCAGCTCCTTCAATCCCTTCAGGAGGGGCTGTGGTGGGAGCAAGGAGGGATGGACAGGTCTTGGCTCGATGGAACCCTCAGTGCCAAATGAAGTCAGCAGAGAGGTGGCTGTCAGGGACAGACAACACACCTTGAGTCACCTCTCATGTCAGCAACCCCCAAATCAGAAGTCATGTGCATTTCCCCTCACCAAAAGCAGAGTGCTTTCATGCCTTTTGTGGTTTTCTTAATCTAGAAATACGGTTTCTGAAGCATTTTTTGTTTCTGTCAAGACATCTCTTGCATGTCATCTGTCAAGTTGTTTTTGTCAGACACCCCTGCCACCAGCCAGGTTCCCCCATGGCCCCCAGCTCCAAAACCAGCCCCTTCAGCTGGTGCTCCCCCGAGCTGGTTGGACTCACAGCACCCTAAAACACAATCAAGTCTTAACCCGATCTCAGTCAAAGTTCTGGCAGCTCCTGAGCTTCTTCCAGCCCCATCCTCAGCTGGATTCTCTCCATAGCTTCTTTTAGGATGTGCTTGATAAGACTCTGTGCCTCATGTGGGGGCTTGTCTGTGTGTTTCCATATCTCACCCAGCTTATCAGCCACAGAGGGTGGGAGGTGTGGCCAGGCTGGGAATTAACCATCCCATCCAAACCCTCTGGAAATCAGGAGCAGAAATTCCCCCCCTTTTTTCCACTGTGGCTTTAAACCAAGGGGTAACTCCTCCAGCGCTGGAGAAGCTGTAGGAGGGAAGGTGCTGAGCCCTGCCTGGTTTCCACTGGAGGAATGGCTGCCTCTGCCCTTCGCACCCAGCAAAGTCCAGGAGATACTTCACCACCACAGACTGCCCAAAATAAACCCTTCTTTCCCTGGAGCTGATCCAAGAGCTATGCCCAAAGGGGTGGGACTGGGTCTAGCCTTCCCCTGAGCTCCATTTCTTTCCCAGCCTGTGCTTTTCTGCCATCACCTCCCTCCATCCTTGCCTAGCCCAGGTGAATGGAGATCACAGGGATAAAGCAGGGGGGAAACCTCGCCTCCTGCCCTCCTGCGGGGGTGTTTTGGTGTGAATCAGCCGGGATGGAGCCGGCACCGAGGCGGGTTTGAGCTGCCCCCAGATTTTGCCGAGGTTTCCTCCCAGCGCTGGAGCTGGCCCTGCCCTCCCGGCTTCCCGGGGCTTCGCTGGGAAGACAAAACCCCGCTCTGGAAGTGAGGCTATTGTTCTTACTAATTTTAACTGGATGTTCTTCCCCAAGCCTATTTTTATTCATTGCTTGTGGTAAGCCCTTTCTCTAAGGTAGAGCAATTTGCCACAGGACTCTTTTTTTTTTTTTTTCCTTTTTTTTTTTTTGGTGTGTTTACCAATTTTAATTGAGAGATATCTCCTTTTTACAAACCCAGAGCTGGAGGAACTTTTAAGCGCCTGTTGCTGAACCTCCTGCCCTGGGTTTGCTTTGATCTCTGCAGGTGAGTGTGCATTTTTGGGGCCAGAGATTGATCCTGCCTATTTGCATGTAAACCCCCGGGTTATTAAGATCCGAATCTGGCCCTTTAAATTTAATACTCCGCTTTATGCTTTTATTTCCGCGTTTCTTAAAGTAATTTCCAAAAATAACAAACTTCAAACATGACGGGGCCATCTAACGTTTTACTGCCTTGGCTGGAGTAGAAGGAACATTTCTGGAAGTATATTATCCAATTTAACGAGCCTTTCCCATCTTGGCGTGGCTCCCACCCCTCTCCCCCTCTCGGAGCTGTTTTGGACGGCTCTTTGGCTCCGTGCCACCTAATCCTATTAGAGGGACTTTCGTTACACTGTGCCTTGTGTTCAGAACCAAGAAAATCAGCTGGAGAGGGGGGTCCTCTCCCTTCCCCTCTCCCGTCTTTTTGCCTGGAGTTGAGACGAGAGCCCAGCCGGTCCCACGAGGTTCCTGCTCAGCCCTTGCTTTTCATTTTATTGCTCCACTCTGCATTTATTAAGGAAGATTTTGAAGTAAATTGGGTGCTTGTGAACTTATAATTAATTTGGAAGGGTCAGCTCTTCCCAGCCTGGGGAGGGCTTCTTTGTGTGGTCCTTTTGTGAGAGGCAGAGGTTGGAGAGGCTGTTCTATAGCTGGGATTTGCTTTTAATAGGGACCTGGCTATTTTTTGAAGATCTCACAGCTCTGGAAGGACTATGAGGGTGTTTTTATGCAGGGATGTGATGAAAAGGTTTGCAGAGCCTTTGGCCTGGGTGCAAAAGAAAACCAAACCAAACCTAAAAAAGGGATAAAAAAAGGTAAAAGGACCACATGTCCTGGGGCTGTGTTTGGCAAACCAGAGCCAGCACCTGGAGCTTGGAGATGCTCCAGGAGGTGCCCCCACTTTGGTGCCAGGTAGGGTTGGGAGCCCCTTGTCCCTCTGTCCATCCCACTCTGCCCCACACACCACCCAGGGGACCTCTTACTTCTCCTTAGAAATTCTTTTTCTTACCACATTTCTTTTCTTGAAATCCTGCGTTGCCTCCCCAAAATAGTCACACAAACCATTAAAAGGAGAAGGTGGAGGGCAGGGAGAAGATGGTGGACAAAAAGAAATGGCCTCAAGTTGTGCCAGGAGAGGTTTAGGTTCCATATTAGGAAAAATTTCTTCACTAAAAGGCTGGTCAAGCACTGGCACAGGCTGCTCAGGGCAGCGATGGAATCATTGTCCCTGCAGGGAATGAAAAACCATGTGGATGTGGCACTTGGGAACATGGGTTAGTGCTGGGCTTGGCAGTGCTGGGGGAATGGTTGGACTTGAGGATCTTAAAAGGCTTTTCTAACCTTAACAATTCCATGATGGGCTGAAAAAGAAAAAAAAAATCTGTGAATAATTAACATTTCTGGAAAAAAACCAGACAGACAGACAGTGGTTTTCTCCACAGTGGGCTGGAAGGAGACAGGGCATGATGGTCCCACTTGGGCATTGCCTGGCAAGGTCAGGGGTGGAATTTAACCTGGGGTAAACATGTGTCTCCATCAGCTCAGCTGCAACGAGGAATCCTCACTGACCGTGGGGAGAGGGGCAGGCGAGGAGTGCTGACCCTGGGGAGTGAGGGAGGCGTGGGTGAGGTGCTCCCTGGGGATCAGGGCTGTGGCTTTGGACAGGAACCTCTCCCTGGCCAAAGCTGGGGAGCTCAGGGGGCTTTTGGCTGTGGAGATTCCTGATGGAAGTGCTGTCAGTGGCGGTTGTTTGGTTGTTTGGAAAGAGCATTGAAACTTGGTGCCTTCCCTGGGACACAGTAACCCAGCAGAGAGGAATGCCAGGAAAACCTGTCCATACTCCATCATCGTGCCCCATCTGCAGTGCCACCAGCTCTCTGTCTCATTTATGAGTTGCACTGTTAATTAACAGCACTTAACCCAGCTAATTAACTGTGTGATGGGGCTGCCTCTCTGCCAAGACACCTCCAAAGCTGCGCTTGGTCCCTGGATGATTCCCCCTGCCCCTGTTGGGTGTCCCACCCTGACCATCACCTTTCTGCTCTCTCTCCCCAGCGTGGGTCGGCTCCCTGGCCATGGGAATGATTTTTTTCTGCTCTCCCATCGTCAGCATCTTCACAGACCGGATCGGCTGCAGGACCACAGCGGCCATGGGAGCTACCATCGCCTTCATCGGGCTCCTCTCCAGCTCCTTCACCAAGTAAGGCTGTGTTGGGCACACCCAGCTCCTTGGGGAGCTCCTCTCCCTCCCTGTTCCCTGCAATCCCCCTTCCAACACTTTGCTTCTGTCTCTGGGGGCAAAGCAGGCGGTGCCCATCTGCATGAGAGATGTCCTGGCATCCCTACAGCCCACGTGTGCTCGGCCTGTTCCCCTCCAAACTGACCCTCGTGTCCTTAGGTAAAAAAAGAGTGAATTTTGCCCAAGCAAGGGACTGTATTTTCTGGGATTTCAGCACTCAGGTCCCTCATTTGATCTTTAAAACAGCAGGAGAGGTTGGTGTGCCTCTCGCGGGCAGCTCCAGAGAGGCACTCACAGAGCAAACCATTCTCCTTTGCAACCATTTTCACATTTGGTGCTGAAAGTAAATTAATGCTTAAAATAATATTTGGTGGATTGCGCCTAAGAGGGAGTTTCTGTGCAGGGCAGACGGGGAGGGGAAGGCAGACGGGGTTTGGAGAGGTTTGTGGTGCTCCTGCCCTGGCTCGTGTGTCTGCGGCAGCGCAGGGCCACTGCTGCTCCTTGTTTTCCATGCCTGATCCCATGCCATGAATTTCTGCTGGCAGGCACTGGCCAATGGCAGGTGTACCTTGTGTGTCTTTCCAGCCCAGAAATCAGGGTTGGCATCGTTGTGGGAGCAAAAAGAGGTCACCTCTGGGGTAATTTATGTGACACTTATTAAACACAGTCTCAGAGACTCCATGGAGACACCTCCAAAGCAGCATTTGCCCCACTTTTCTGAATAAAAACATTGCTTTGGGTTGGATTTCAGTTAAAATCAATATTGTTTTAATTAAAATGCTTCAAGGAGTGGGTTTTTAAAGCAAATACACACCAGTTTTCCAGAGGGCAACTTGCCTGTGCTGTGCTCCTCCTGGTCAGTGAGACCCTTGTGCTCGTCCCAGCCCTGCTTCCCTGGATCCCCAAGTCCTCATCTGTGAGATCCCCCCATCATGCCTGGAGTGGGGATCAGTTCTGATCCCCAGGAAAACCCCCCAGGACCGTGGCTAATTGCAGATGGGATTTTTGGGTTGCCAAAACCATCTTGGGAAGGAACTGGCATCTGCATCTTCCTCCTCAAGTGCCACCCTTTCTGTTTCCAAAGATAATGGCAAAAGGTGCAGTGGGTCCTGCAGGAAGCTGTGCCCTGGCATGCAGATCACAGGAGCTTCCCATGTAATCCTGCTTTCCTTCCAATCAACAAAACTTGGACTTTTTTGCCCCCTCTATTTTAAAATGTTTGTGCAAAGAAAAAGGGCTCGTTGGACCACACCGCTGCCAGGGGCTTGTTGTGTTGGGCTTCCAAAAAAAGAAAAAAAATCAAACCGTGCAGGCAGAGAGGAACATCATTTCCAGGAGAGCTACAGGACTGAAATCCCCATTTCCTGCCTCTCACTCTCGGGCCACATTCCTCTGGCTGCCTTTTAAGGGAGAAAGGAGCCCCTCTGCAGCTGGACCACGGCGAGGGAAGCTGCGCCGGCAGAGCCGCGCGCGGGGCCGGGGAAGAGCAGGGAGGCTGTGGGATTTGGCAGCGCTCCACCCGGATGGTGAAGGCTGCTCCTGAAATTCGGGGCTTGTGGCTCCAGCTCTCCCTGAACAATGGAGAAGCTTTTTTTGGTCCCTCCTGCCAAGTCCCTCCACCGCAGCTGGAGGTCGTTCCCCTGTGATACAAGCACTGGTGCAGAGGGACACAGCCTGGCTTTGGTGGGCTCAGGCAGAGCTGGATCAAAACTCACCCCCCTTTATCTCCTAGTTTCTCTAAAATGGGTTTATTTTGTCCAAATGGAGGAGCAGCAGTTCCCAGCACTGCACTGAGCTGCTCCACAAGCCCCCTGAGCCACCAAGACTGTGTGGTAACACCCCAGCGCCCAGCTCAGTGCCTCTTGTCTCAAAATATTGGGAATTTTGTATGAAGACCACTAAAGAAACCAAATGTGCTGAAAAGCAAAGCTCTGGGGAAGGCTGGATGGCGTCCAATGCAAGGCTTTTCCTCTCTGCTGCCTTGCTCTGAGGTGTCTCCTGCACTCGTAACCAGCTCAAGCCACCTTGTGTGCTCCCAACAAGAGAAATCCCAGTTAAGGCTTTAGCTTCCCTCCAGTGTAAGGGGGTTGGTTTAGCATGGAGAATGGGAGATGATGGCCAGCTCAGCAGGGCTGTCTTCACATGCCCCCAGTGCCCTCCCAGCCCTCCTCCTCTGCACTAAGTGCTCTGTAGGGAGGGTTGGATCCCTTTTCATCTGCTTCTCCTTCCCCTCCACAATTTCATCTGCTTCTCCATCCCCTCCACAATTTCTGCAGGTTACTCCTGCACAGAGGGATCCCCCAAACTTCTGCCAGGAAGGATGAACCAGGGCTGCTCCCACGGAGAGCTGGAAGCAGGAGGGAGGCCTCCTTGTCCCAGGAGAAACAATTATCCATTGGCAACCTCACAATCCGAGGGGACAATGCCACCCTTCCCACCAGACAGCTGCTGGCTGATTCCCAATAAGCAGGCTAGGAAATCCTGGCTCTCTTTTTTTAGCAGCTCATGGCTGAAAGGAGCCTCTGCTCATGCAGGGGTGTCTGAGCATCACTGGGGAGCAGATGGGAGCTGTGGCATTGCCTCCACTTACCCGACACGTCAGCTGAGCTGTGGCACCAGGGCTGCTGTGGCCAGGCCAGGCTGGTGCGTGGGAGGTCGGGCACGGCCCATGAGGCCCAGCTGCTTGCCTGGCTCCCACAGAGGGGGCTTCTGATGTGGTTTTGCTCTGGAGTGGATGGAAATTGCCTTTCATGATGGTCATTTGTCTCGGCGCCGCCAGGCACAGCAGCCGGGTTCTGCTTTCTGCTTGGCAGGCTGGAGGGATGAGCGTGTAATGGAAGGCATGATGTGCTTGTAAAGGTTTTCCCAACTTCCAGCTGCTCTGGGAGACGTGGGCTGCTGTCTCCTCACTTGCTTTGGGAGCAGCACTCAGTCTTGCTCCGAGGATTGGAGCACAGACCCTGCTTGTACAAGACCCTGAGCTGCCCAAAGGTTTTCCTCACACTTTCCTCCCAGGCAGTATCCCATGGCAGACCTCTGCAGCTGGATGGATTGCATGGGAATGAAGAAAAAAATTCCTTCATCTGGAAAGAAACACAACAGGTTGTTTGTACTGCCTAAATCCAGGCTCCTTTGTCAGCTGCCTCTGTTGGGAAAATTGGGCTGGAAATTTGGAGGCAGCTCCTTCCAAGAGCTTTCAGCACTCTCCATCTGCTCTGTAGAGCAGCCACTTCACTCCCTCTTTGAGTGCAGCCACCAATGTAAGGTACAGATGAGATCTATTAACTGTCTAATTAAAGCTCCCAGAAGAGCTTAAAGAAGAAGAACTTAATTAACCAGCCTGGAGCCTGGGCAGAAACACCACACTTCCTTGCTGCGTGCCTAATAACCAGCAGGGTTGGTGCCTTCTGCTTCCAAACACTGGGTGGAGAATGTTTTCAGTTAATCCTTTCAGTGGAAAAATTAAAAGGAATTCTAGCTAAAAATATCCCACCCTCCCTACCTTAGAAAATCTTGTTTGCTGTAATTTAATAACCATTGAAGTAAGGTCAGCTTCCCAAGGAGGCCAGGTTGGCTGCTGCCTTCTCCTGGTGGCAGAAAGCACTTCCCAGCTCCACTTCATTTTGCTGCAGACTTCATGTGCCAGCTGTTAGGTGAGGATTATCCTGGTTTTGGTGAGGGGATAAGCTCCTCGAGGTCAGACAGTCTGTGCAGTACCTGCAGCATGTGACAACACCTCGGCCTTTGCAGCACCATGGGGGAGGAGGCTCCCTCACCTCTGCCTCACATCCCCACTCCCACGTGTGTCATTCCAGGTCCCTGGAAGTCCGTTATTTCACATATGGGATCCTCTTTGGCTGTGGCAGCTCCTTTGCCTTCCAGCCCTCGCTGGTCATCCTCGGCCACTACTTCAAGCGCCGCCTGGGCCTGGCCAATGGCATCGTGGCCGGGGGCAGCTGCCTCATCTCCGTGCCGCTCCCCTTCTTCCTGAAGATGGTCGGGGGTGCCATCGGGCTGGCACACACTTTCCAAGTACTCAGTGCCTTAATGCTCATCCAGATCTTCTTGTCCATGACCTACCGGCCCATCCTGACGCCTTCTTGTGACTCTCAGCACGACGGGCACGACAAGATGGGCAGCCGGAGCATGAGGCAGCAGTGCTGGGCCCAGACCCGCAAGTATTTCAACCTGAGGGTTTTCCGGAGAAAGACCTATCGGATTTGGGCTTTTGGGATTGCTACTGCTGTCCTGGGATACCTCGTACCTTACATGAACCTGGTAAGAGCTGTGGCTGGGCTGGAAGGGGAGGGAGGTCCCTTTGCCCACAGTGAGGAAGAGGTGGGAAGGTGGAAATGGGCAGAGGCACAAAAGCCTTGAAGCCAAGAAACTGCTTCACATCCTTTAAACAGGAATTGTGATAGATATGGTTCTGTGTGTCCTCTCTGTGTCCTCTGTGCCAGAGTAGGCCAGGGTCACTTCCCAGCACTCCTAAGGGCCAGCACCAGTAGCAGGAGAGGAGAAGAAGAAGGTCCTGTTGAGTTTGGGGTGGGTGGAGGGTGCAGGTCAGTGTGGTGTGGACACGAGGGTTACACAACCAGCCCAAATCCGTGAGCCCTCTGCAGGAAATCCCATCCCTTTTGGGGAGATGAGAGAGATGAATGTACTGCAGCTTCATGTCCTTGTGTTCTTCCTTCCATCCCAGGTCAAATATGTGGAGAAGCGATTTCAGGAAACCAAAAAGGACTGGATCCTCCTGGTTTGCCTCGGGGCCATGTCGGGGCTGGGGCGCTTGGTTTCGGGCCGCATTGGCGACTGCATTCCCGGGCTGAAGAAGATTTACCTGCAGGTACAGTGGGATTTACCTGCAGGTACAGTGGGATTTACCTGCAGATACAGTGTGTCCAGCCCTCCATGGAGGTTCTGGCCAGCTACAGTGGAGCAGGGATGGTATCTCTGCATTAATGTCCACGCTCTGCTTAATAACTGTCAATCACAAAGCCTTTACCAACCATTGTCTGCTGTGAGGGAAGAAAATTGACTACAGAGATGTGTGAGAGGAGTTACACACTTGACCCCAGGGACTGGTGTCTGTTCAGCAATCAAACTCCATGGTAGCCACTCTTCCCAAACTACCGACACCCTTTAACCTCCTTGTGGTTTTTGAAGAACAAACTGCTGAAATCTAGCAGCTAATCCAGCAGTTAATCCTTCTTAACCCTTCTTAAAAGGTTATTCTTAAGGGCCTCCCTGAGACAGGAGCAGTGGCTGGATGGCTTTGCTGGGTCCAGGGAGGGAGCAGTGACATTGACCTGCTCAGTGTCATCTCCATGACTCTTCTGCTGCCCATCCCCACGCTCATGCCCACTCCTGTTCCCCCAGGTTGCGTCCTTCATGCTGTTGGGCCTCCTGTGCATGATGATCCCCCAGTGCCGAGGCTTCGAGGGCGTCATTGTCATCTGCCTCTTCCTTGGCCTCTGCGACGGCTTCTTCACCACCATCATGGCCCCCATCGCCTTCGAGCTGGTGGGGCCCATGCAGGCGTCCCAGGCCATAGGGTACCTCATGGGGCTGATGGCCGTGCCCATGACCGCGGGCACGCCCATTGCAGGTTGGTAACACCACGGGGCTGGACCAGGACCCAGCGGGTGGCAGGGACGTGGTGGTGGCAGCTTTCACCTGTGGTGGTGGTTTGGTGTGAGACCAGAAGCTCTGGTTTGAGGTCTCTGGTTTATCGGGTCATGTGGAGGTTGAGGAATGGGGGTGGCATCACTCCATGCTATGTCTTGTGCCACCTCAGAGCTTTTCTCAATGCTGATGAAAAGTGGCCATTGGGGGAGCAGTGAGCCAAGGTCACATTAAGTGATTTCTCTTTGCAGCTGAGCTAAAAATCGGCAGATAATAATTTTCTAGAAGTCCTTTTAGATAGAATTGAAGTTAGAGATAGAGACACCTGAGCCTCCACGAGACCTGGGTGTGTGTTCCAGCACGGCAACAACCCCAACGTCCTTAACAGCGAGGGCTCTGCCAGAGCTGCCCCTGAGCAGCAGGACCTCTGCATCAGCAGCGCTAAGCCAAAGCTGGATAAGCACCTCCGATCTCTCTGCTTCCAGCAGCAAAGTTCACTCTAACACCCTCGGGACGGAGCATGGGGGTCACACACCTCTCACTGGGAGGGTGCTGCACCAGGACCCCCTGAGTGGGGCTTGCTGGGTGAAGGGGCCTTTTGCATTGGCCTAATCCCCAGGGAAGCATCCAAGCAGGAGACACTCAGAGGAATTTTCCAGAGCTAATCAATGGCCATGTGTTATCCTCCGAGGATGCCTGGCTGTGTTGGAACTTGCCAGACAAATGTAGAACCTTGTTGGGTTTTAAAGGCTTGGCTATTGTTTGTAACTGGCAGAATGTATTTCACAGCTGGAGATAAAACATCCATAAGGGCAGGGCTTCCAAATGGAGACAATCAGCAGAGGAACAGCCCCTGCCCACTTTCCCACTGCCTCCTGGCTGGCAAGCCTCTGGGAAGAGGTGTTGGGTTTAACACGTCTCAGCTTGCATTTGGGATTGTCTGGGATGTGGACGGTTCTGTCCTGTTGTGGAGAAACAGGAAGGACGGCTGAGGCTTTCCTTCTCCACTCCCTTGGTACACAGTGTTGGCTGCACACATCCCTTAATCCAGCGCGTAAAAACTCCAAGAAACGCAAACGGAAAAAAAAGATTATTTTAAAAACCCAAATCTCCCCAGATCTGGTGGGTGACGCAAGGAGGGAACAAGCAGGTCATTAGACTAACGAGCTCATTAGACTGACGAGGCTCTAACGTCACCTCTCTTCTCTTCCAGGATACCTCAACGATTACTTTGGGAATTACGACGCGGCCTTTTACTTTGCGGGGGTGCCGCCCATCATCGGCGGCCTGGTGCTCTCCGTGGTGCCGCTGGTCCACCAGAGGATGCTGAGGAAGCAGCGCCTGGATTCCGGCAAAGACAAGATGCTGGTGTCGGAGGCGGTGGTGAACGGGGAGCTGCTGCCCGGCTGCCCGGCCTCCGAAGCACACATGTGATGATGTGACGCCGCTCCCGGCTCTGCCGGGACACCAGCAGCCTCTCGTAGCCCCAGCACAGGCCCTTTCCCAGACGGACCGAAATTCCCAGTGATCGCAGATGCACTATGTTTGTAAAGGAGAAAACACAAACATTTCTTCTAGTTAAAGGCTTTTAATTTTTTTTTTTTTTTTTTTTTTCTGGGACAGTTTTGATTTCAAAGCCACCTTTTTTTTTTTCCCCCCCTAACCATTTTTGTAAGGAGAACTCTCACCAGGATTCAAACTTGATCAAGCTCCCGCTCCTCTCCCAGTTTTCTATACGTCACGACAGAGGTTTACAGATAATAAATGCCTTTTCCAAGCAGGCCACGGATGGAACTTGTTGAACCTTGCAGCTGTCCATCCTCCTCCTCCTCCAGTGTCACTCGGGTGTCACATCCAAGTGAGACAGCCCCATCCCCGTCCAGCACCTGGGGCTGTTTTGGAGCCAGAGATCCGAAGGAGGAAACGCTGCTTTAGTCTGATGCACAAACCAAATAAATGTCAGCGAGTCCCGCTTTCATCTTCCTCTTTCCTCCTTTCCCGCTGCTCTCCCACACCCCCAGGGAGCTGCAGCTGGGATGACAGGGAGCTCGGCTGGCTCCAGCCATTGGAGTCACACGGGAGCACACCCTTCCTGCAAAATATGCCTTAAAAACGCGTGGATGAGACCAGCAGGTCCCTTGGCCTCTTTCCACCTCCGTTTTCCCACCCAGCAATTAATGATTGGGCTTTTGAGCTGCAAAAGAGAGGGGCAGCTCCTTGCACAGCCCACAGTGCCCGGCTCTCTGGGGCCAGATCCTTGGGATCACCACCAAAAAGGGCACTTTGGTGGCTTTGAGGCACACAGGGCTGGGACAGAGCCCCTGTGTCATGGATCAGCTCTGTGCTGGGAGGTGGCTTCCCTGCTGGGCTCAGGGGCACCCACAGGTGTGGGGATGCTGCTGGCTCAGGGCACAGGGTGCCTCTGCTGGTTTTGGGGGCCAGTTGTGTATTATGCAGCAATAAGCAAGAGTCAGTATTGGTGGGGAATCCCAGTTTTCCAAAGGGTTTGACAGCCCCAGTAGTGTTTAACTCGTAGCCCGTGTGTTGTCACTGAGCTGGTGCAGGGTCAGTGCTGATCTGGGGGGAGAGGGAGAGAGTGCAAGGGAATCACACAGCCAGTGGGTACCCACCACACTGAGTGGCAGCAGAGCTCAACCCCAGCTCGGGCAGGAATCCATCACTGCCCACAGAAAATTGTAGAAATTCAAATTGCTCAGAGAAGCTGTGACTGCCCCATCCCTGGAAGTGCTCCAGGCCAGGTTGGGCAGGGCTGGGAGCAACCTGGGGTAGTGGAAGGTGTCCCTGCCCATGGCAAGGGGCTGGAATGAGATGAGCTTCAAGGTCCATTCCAACCCAAACCATTCCATGATTCTATGATCATCTCCAGGGATTGCTAATGAGCGTGGCTAATGAGTGAGAAGGGAAGTTCTCCTGCCCTGGTGGGTCCCTGTGTGAACAAGGAGCCAGCTGGGACTGGGGTGCCTTTTCCTGGGAGAGAGCAAGAAACAAAACTCACATTTATCCTGACTGCAAACCCATCCTTCATCAGATTTTCATTTTCTTCACCTGGCAGTAAAATCTCAGATGTCTGAAGAGGGACGTGTGTCGTGGGAATCATCCCTTGGTCTCCGGGCGAGTGTGGGGGTTTGTAACACCAGGACATGTCTTTGCTGTGGAAATCTGGGCTCAGTGGAGGCCCCTCCCACAGGCAGCAGTGGGACTTTTGTACATAATAGGCTCAGGACCCTGCATGTCCCTCTGGCCCTGTTTTTAACCCCTCTTGGCTGATGCATTGTAAGGTCTTGTGGTCTCGTGGCCCTTCTGTCCCTGTACGAGCTGGAAAATTACCTGGTGTGTTGTGACGTGTCTGTTTATGATATAAAATGAGATGTCTTCTTGTCTCTTTCTTGGATACACTTTTCCATGACTGTTCTCCCCCTTCATGGCCTGTGTTGCATCCTCTGCTGTGGCTCTGCTGAGCCATCACTGAGTTTTGGGAGCCACGGGAGGCAGATGAAGCTGCAGGAGGAGGCAGAGCTTTAACCCCCTAACCCAGCTCCAGCTGGGATCTGCCAGACTTAGCCTAGGGCAGGTCGTTAATCTGGTGCTTTTTGGGTGGCAGCCTTGGAAGTGGGGCAGCTTCAAAGCCCTCTGACAGCTGAAGGAAATAAAAAACTCCTCATTGTAACTCCTTCTGTGAGTTTTGGGGCATTAATTCACATTGGAGTTTGATGAAGTTCATTAAATCATACTTTGGACCTTAATGCCCCCCAAAGGAGAGATTGTGAGAGGTTTAAATTCCAGAAGTAGCTTCTTCAGAGCAAGCAGAGCATGAGCAGAGCTGTCTCCAAACCCCCACTCCCCATGAGGGAGTGCCTGCACAGCAGAGCTTCAGAGCAAGCAGAGCATGAGCAGAGCTGTCTCCAAACCCCATGTGGGCTGAGGGAGTGCCTGCACAGCAGAACCCACTGATGGCTGCACCCAGACTCTGTGTGGCAAAGCCTCCCTCACTCCTAAGGTGATTTATGGTTCAAATCCCAAATTCCTACAGAATTCCCCTTGCCTTAACTGCTCCATATTCCTGCAAAGGCACTGGGAGCAGCCTGCATTCAGTGCAAGGGTTGTTTAGCCCTGCAGTGGCATCAGAGCAGCTGTGCCAGCCCAGGAGGGGTGCTGGTACCCACATCTGCCCCCCCTACATTTTGATCTTTCCCCATGGCTTTTATTATTGGCCCTCTAGGAGATTTGGAGTGATGAGGTGCTTTCTTGGCCACCCCAGCTTGGTCAGAGGAAACCACCCCTCATCCTATCCCAGACCCATGTCTGGTACCAGCCTCCCAAAACCACGCTCAGTGTCTTTGTCTGGCCAAAATCCTGCCCTTGGTGGACACAAGGACAAATTCTGCAGGTTTGGACAGCAGCCATGAAAGGTCTCCTCATCAGCAAACACAGATGGGAATGGGAAGGGCAAAGGTTGGAGCAGTGTCAACATACAGGGAGTATTTGGGGCTTGTTTGTCAGATTGCTGCTGCTGTGGGTCTAGTTTGGCCCTTTTGAACACCAGGCAGTTTGCGAGAATTTCTGCACATGAGAGGTGGGATTGTGAGCAGAGAGGGGCTGCACTGCCCTCAAAACCTCAGCTCAGCCTCTGGTGGTCTGGTGGTGTGATGCCAATGGGTCCCTAACTGCAGCAAAAAGCTTCATCCCAAAGCTCCCCCTGTCCCATCAGAGCCATCCTGTCCTAGCCCAGAACATCCCCATCCCCTTTGGGGCTGCCTTTTACTCAGTTTTCTGACTAAAAACCCAACCTTCTCCCTCCCCTGCGAGTGCCAGGCTGTGATTCCTGCCCCTCTCCCTGCTCTGGGAAGGGAAGGGGGAGCCCAGCACTCAGGCTCGGCCAGCTTGGGGAGCCAGCAAGGCAAGGGGAGGGGGCTGAGCCCCTGGGGTGGGAAAGGGGTGGAAGGGAGCAGGGAGGGCCCCACTCCAGCCCGTGGTGTTTGCAGAGCTGCAGAGCCTTATGTAAGCGTGCAGTGAGCACAGGACATGTCCCAGCAGCTCCTGCTCGGGGCTGGGCTGGGGCTGCCTCTTAAATCTTTACCTTAAGGGTGTTCACAACCAACTTGTTGTCTTTTCTTCTTCTTCTTTTTTTTTTTTTTCCCTTTCCTTTTTTCTTTTATTATTGTTCTGCTGCAGAGTGAGGCATTGGGTTTAACTCCTCTGGCTCTGGCAGAGGGATGGAGGGGGACAGCTGAGCTGGAAGGGCTCCCAGGATGGCTGTGTTTGTGATGGGAAGGGGAGCAGGGCTTTGGGAGCTGTCTGGGACGAGCCATGATTCATGGCTTAGTGCTTTTTTCAGTTTTGGAACAATATGCAGGAGCTGCTTCACTGCAGCTTGCCCTGCCCCGAGGTCCTGCAGCCAAGCAAACACAAGTTTCAAAGTCACAGAGCTTAAATTTATCAAATTCTGGCCTCTCTCCAGCTGGGGTTGAGGTTTCCTAACATTTCTCTGCTGTGGGAGCTGTGGGAAGGCCACATCCTAATTGCCAGCCAAGCAGAGGGCTTTTGCAGGTCTGCTGTGGTACCGTGGGGTTTGGAGACCCCCAATTTCAGGAGGTTTTGGCTCTGCCTCCCACCATGGTGGTGCTTTGGGGCTGCCACTCAAGGAGCTTCATCACCCCGCGGGCTGAGCTGCCTGGAGGAGCCAGCAGGGTGGTGGCCAGCAGCTGGGCAAGGACATTCCTGCCCTTCCTTCCCTGGCAGTGCCATGGGAATGTTCTGCACGGCAGCAGAGGCTCTCTTTGGTACGTGGGTGCCAAGAGCAATTTGCTCTGGGCAGCCTGATTTGGTGCTGAGGATCTCACCTGCTCTGGATTTGAACCCTGGCTGACACTTGCATCTATAAGTGGCCACGTAATCCTCACCTGGGTAAAGGTGAGCTCGGATCAAATCCTCGGAATGCAGGGGGACAGATCCAGCTGAGACTTTTGCTGTCTCTCCATTCTTCACTGCAAACCATTCCTGGCTTTTGTGTGCTCCTGCACCCCACAGTTTTGTTTGGGGTCACTTTGATTATTTTAGCTTCAATTATTTCCAAGCTGGCAGAGTTCTCCTTTTCCAGGTGGAAGCAGAAAATTGGAATGACTTTGAAAGCCAAGGCAAGAAGAGCAGCTCCCTCCCTCCAGCTTTATGCCACCAAGTGTGGACTTGAGCTTTTTTGGGTGCTTACAAGCACCCTTGTAACCTTTGGGGACAATGATGGGGTTGACAAGTGCTCTTTAAATCCTGCTCCAGGGTGCTCTGAGTAATGCCAGGCAAGGAACTGGCACAGAGAGGGGCTCCATGGGCAAGTAACAAACCAACAGAAAGCTGTTTCCTTTCTTTTTGAGAGCCCTGGGCAGGAAAGCAAACACAGAGGTGGATGGAGCCCTGAAAGG